TCTCCTAAAATGGAAGAATAGTGCACAAAGAGGACATGGGACTTTCCTTCAGTGATCCACTTTCTACAGCAAGGATCTGCCTCCTTAAGTTTGCACAGTCTTCCCAGACATCTCCATTGCTGAGTAAGTGTTCAAACACAGAAGCCCAGAGTGAATATTACATCTATTACATTCACACCACAACAATGGCAGCCCTAATATTATACCTGCATTGTTTAAAACCTCAGAGAACGTAACATCCTAACTTGAGGCACAATGCAGTCTAAAGAGTATATATATAATATGTGTGTGTGTGTATATATATATATATATATGTGTGTGTGTGTGTGTGTGTGTGTGTGTGTGTGTGTGTGTGTGTATACATATATATATATATATATATACATAATCTCCAACTCACATGAAGAATAAACCACATTTAGTTTTAGATTAAGCACATCGGTATTGGAAATTATTCGGAACCCTGACTTTCGGGAAAATGGCTGTGGCTACCTCTACCCTGAGCCTTGAGAGAAAAAGGAAGCCTTGGAAGTTTGCAGTGTTTGCCAAGTGTATCAAGAGTCCCGACTGTCCCAGATGACAGCTGGCACACACAGGCAACTCACTCGCTCTGACTTTACTTTTTTCTTGGTAAAGAAATAGCAACTACTTGCCAGCCTGCTTCTTTGCAGGAAGCCAACAAGTTTGCATACGGGATCTGTCATTTTTAATCATTAGTCAGTGTAACTTTGGTTGCCAGAGAATAAACACTTGCTTGTTAGGAAACCTTGGATAATGGGGAAATATGCAGAAATGAAAGTGGTATTTCCACTAATTTGGGTACTGATGATATTGTCAACCTTGGGTTGAATTTCTTTGAGGGAGCCAGTCTCCTATGCCAGGCATTGTTCTTTATCCCAAATGACCACATTCAACTCTTTAGAGGTGACAGACAGTACATTTCTAGGGGCAACCAAATGATGCTCCTTTGACTACTCTGAAGTCTAGAATCTGCAGAGAGGGCTGGTTAGGTGCCCCGTTGGAGCATGGGAACACAAAGCAGGGTTTTAAAACTCGGGAATGTTTTCCTAAAATATATGACTACAGCGCTTGCAGTTCTGGGATCTGATAGTTCTTGGTTTCTTATTCAAATGCAATGGTATTGTTAGGAACCTTCCAGAACTGCAAGGTTCTGTCCTTCACACTCAATGACAAGAACAGCAGGAATCTATTAACAGTCTTTCCTCATGTTTGAGCGCTGTCCCTGGCCAGTGGGTCCCCATCAGAGGTGGCCTCCCCCTCAGCCAGCATTCTCCAGAGTCCTGGCATGAGGTGGCTCAGACTTTGTTAACTGGGTTATCTGATTCCTCTTCCCCCACCCACCATGGCTAATTTTGTTTGAGATTTCACAGTGCTTCTAAATTTAAATATGTAAACAAACAGGGACACACTTTTCTTCAAGTCTTTATTAGAATTAAAATTAGAAATAGTTCTTGTCCTTCATACAACCAAGCTGTTGAAAGAGCCGAGTGCAGGTGGATGTCCAAAGTATCTCAGCAGATACAGCGAGGGTGGGGTGTTCGCTGTAACCTGGCTGGCTGGTTTAGTTTTGTGAAGTGTGATCAGAATGAGTAGAGAGTTTACATGGGTGGTTTTCCAAGGGAAAAAAGATGATCTTCCACTATTAGGTTCTGAAAATACCAAGAGACTGTTTACTTAAAAGCTTGTAGATCAGGAATTGTGATTAGCTTTCTTTATGAAGAGGGAGATCAATTAGGACCGTCTGTTGGGCATCAAAGAAGCATAAATTATGAATTCCAGGAAACTGCAAGAATTTGGTCTTATTTTATCTTATTTTGTTGTTGCTGTTGTTATTATTATTATTATTACCCATTTGTAGCCTAATAAGAAGGAAATGGTGTAGATTTGGGTGGGTGGGGAAGTAAAAAGGATACAGGAAGAGTCGAGGGAGAGGAAACCATTATCAGAATATATTGTATTTCAAAACTCTAGTTTCAATTTAAAAAATGTATAAGTTAACACAAAGAAAATTTCACTCACAATTTAGAAGTTCAGGTTAGATATCCAGCCATTGCTCATTTTTCTCCTGACAGACAGACAGACAGACTTCTAATGTTTTTCTTGTGTCATATCAGAAATGACCAATTCCTCTCCAAAAAAAAATTTTTTTAAGAACATCTTTGTGAGCACAGTACAATTTGTCTGAAAAGCAGCTTTCTCCAGAAGTTCAAAATAAGCGAGCATAAGAAGCTAATGGACGGGGTTTGGAAAAGCAGAGAGAGCATTTGTGGCACTACCTCAGTGGCACTACCTCAGTGTGCTCTGCTGTGAGCGTGACCTTAGCAACTATGTGTGCAAGATCTGTGGGAACTGCATAGAAATGAGGTTAGTGCGTGCTGCAGGGGGGAGGGGCTCCAGGGCAGTGAGGGATTGCAGCAAAGATCTCAATGTTAGCACATTAGCCTCAGGCTCTTGCTGAACCGGCCTCTGAATCTTCAGTGCAGTTCAGAGTGATGTGAGTGTTTCCAGGGTGCGCTGGTGCTTCCAGAAGAGTTCTCTGTACTCCTAGCCTGCTTCTTGCTGCAGCCTCCTGAGTTCTGAGTCAGTATCTCTCTCCCTCTCCCTCTCCCTCTCCCTCTCCCTCTCCCTCTCCCTCTCCCTCTCCCTCTCCCTCTCCCTCTCCCTCTCCCTCTCACTC